CGGGCTCTTGATGGGGTTACATTTCCTCCCCTGAACCTATCTTTAAAGCCAGGGAAGTAGCATTTGCTGAAAATCTTAAATCGGGAAACCAGGTATAAAATATAGGATCAATCCCACTCAGACCACTTAATTGGGGAAAGTGAGGGGTTATGAGGAAGAAGGAAAGTGGGAATGTTATCATTGTAATTAGTAGCTAGTTATTAATATAAAGAAAGAAAGCAAAGGGAAGGCAGACATTGTAAGCTATAGCTTCGCGCGCCCCAGGAGACCATAGGTCCATTCCCAGCAGGTCACTGGGGGAAGAAATCAAACAAAGGGGGAGATAGGCACATGTGCAGTAGAAATCTGCTTGTCACTTGCTTGTCAGTCTAGCCTGGCAAACAATGGATATTGCCTAGGCCCGTGATCGGCAAACCGCGGCTCTTGAGCCACATGTGGCTCTTTGGCCCCTTGAGTGTGGCTCTTCCACAAAATACCATGTGTGGGCGCGCTCGTACAGTGCGATTGAAACTTCGTGGCCCATGCACAGAAGTCAGTATTTTGTGGAAGAGCTGGTATTTTGTGGAAGAGCCACACTCAAGGGGCCAAAGGGCCGCATGTAGCTCGAGAGCTGTAGTTTGACGAGCCACAGTTTGCTGACCACTGGTAGGGGGTGGACCCCATCAGAAGCACGAAAAATCTTGGAAAGTTCCTGGTTAAAATCTCCAAAGAATGCCCTCTCTCTTATTCACCATGGTCCTCTTGCTCTCTCTTGCTCCGTCACCCACGCTTGCTCTGCACTCACCTGTTCGCTCTCCTTAGCCATGTCGCCCTAAGCAGCCACATGGTCCATGCCCATGGGGACTCCATACGAAATGGACTGTAGCTGGGAACACAAGCTAAGCTAGCAGGTGCTGGACTGGATTGGACTTTAATATGGAGCAAAACTCTGGGTAGTGGCCTTAATTCTGGCCCTGCTGAGACAAGATTGGACTTGCTCCACGGTGGGACAGACAGAGATGGAACCTTTTTCTCCCAAAATGCTTGGAAACAGTATCATTATATGCAAAGCACACAATGAAATTAAATGTTCCCTTTTTTCATGATTTACAAAACCCAGCTTCCATATTGTATTTCCGTAAAGGTAAGCCTAGGGAAGGGCTTTGGTGGATGGTTATGTACAGTAAAAAAAAAAAGGGGGGGGAGGGACAGATTGGAGTAACAGAAAATGGAATACACAGTTAACGTAGAAAATAACTCAGGTTTTCAACTTAAGTGACCAGGTGGATGGGGTGCCATTCACTGATGGAGGGAGAGGGAGAGGAACACAACACAATTCAGGACTCTTGATCACAAGTGACAGAAACTGTTTTTGCTCACTTCTAATTAGCTTAAGATTTTTTAAAAAATATATTTTTATTGATTTTTTACAGAGAGGAAGGGTGAGGGATAGAGAATCAGAAACATCGATGAGAGAGAAACATCAATCAGCTGCCTCCTGCACACCCCCTACTGGGGATGTGCCCACAACCAAGGTACATGCCCTTGACCGGAATCGAACCTGGGACCCTTCAGTCTGCAGGCCGATGCTCTATCCACTGAGCCAAACCAGTTAGGGCAAGATTTTTTTTTTTAAAGTGGGGTGAGTTATACAACTGAAAAACCAGGGATGGATTGTTCTTTTCTGAAATTTCTAGAAAAGATTCTTTAGAACCCATATTCTTCCCCCTTACTGAATATAGTTGACCCTTGAATAATACAGGTTTGAACTGTAAGGGTCCACTTATAGGCAGATTTTTTTCAATCAATGCCTGTACTGTTTTCGATCCATAGTTGGAAGTCCACAGATCTATGCCATTTTATATATGGGACTTGAGCATCTTCAGATTTAGGTATCTGCTGGGGTCCCAAAGCCAACCCTCCATGGATACCAAGGGTAGTTAAGTTTTGGGAGAGTGAAAAGTTATACATGGAATTTCAGATTGTGTGAGCAGTCAGTGCCTCTAACCCCTGTGTTGTTCAAGGGCCAACTGTACTATCTGTGCACTAGCCTTTTAAAAGTATTACTATGTAAAATTATTTCCAGTCTACATATTTAGTTTCTAAGCTTCTCAATGGCAAAGAATCATTTATTTTTTACCCAGAGCATCTAGCACTGTGTTACACACATTGTATTGGATGCTTTAAAAAAAAAATGTGTGTTGGCCTTAGCGGGTTTGGCTCAGTGAATAGAGCGTTGGAGTGTGGACCAAAGGGTTCCAGGTTCGATTCCGGTCAAGGGCACTACTTCGGTTGCAGGATCCTCCCTGGCCCCGGGCCTTGGTCAGGGCATGTGCAGGAGGTGACCAATTGATGTGTTTCCCTCACATTGATATTCTCTCTGTCTTTCCCTCTCTCTGAAAATCAATGGAAAAATATCCTTGAGTGAGGATTTAAAAAAAAAAATCTGAAGTGAACTGACAAATCTAAATTCTGATGAACTTGTAAACTGAGTTAATTCAATATCTCAAAGGTGCACTAAAAACAGGGTGGATGAAGTAACTGGTGGAAAAAGTCACAGAAAACTTATGCATGGTTTCTGTGAAGGCAAATTAGATCCATAAAGTAGACAAAAAGACATTGTGGAACCAAGAGATCTTTTTTTTTTTAAAATATATTTTTATTGATTTCAGAGAGGAAGGGGGAGAGAGATAGAAACATCAATGAGAGAGAATCACTGATTGGCTGCCTCCTGCATGCCCCCTACTGGGGATGGAGCCCACAACCTGGGCATGTGCACCTGATCAGAATTAAACCCGGGACTCTTCAGTCCCCAGGCCAATGCTCTATCTACTGAGCCAAACCAGCCAGGGTGAACCCAGAGATCTTATTCAGTTTTTCAAAAAGCCTCTGATAGATTTCTGCATCAAAGGCTTTTAGAAAAATGGTATAATCCTGGACTTATTTATTTATTTATTTATTTTATTTTTTTCCCCCTGGACTTATTTAGAATGCTATCATTGTCAGTATTGTTTTAATTTTGTTTTTAAAGTTGTTTCTAGGAAGGAGAACCAAAGTCAAGCAATGAATGTTAGAAATAAATGAGAAAGTGTAACTAGTGGAGACTGATCTTATTTAACTTTTAATAAGTTGTCAAGAGGTGGTATGGACAATGGACTTTTTAGTTTTCAAATAATAGCTCTTTTAATTAATGCAATATTTAGCTGAAGACAAAGGCAAATTAATGGAAAATACAGTAGGTGCTGTAATTTAGATATATTCATTATATATTAGGGAAGTAAAACAATACAGGCCATAGAGGTGGGTATCTAGAGCCAATTCTTTGCTCCAAGTAGATGGGCCAATTTCCCTTGTATTTTCTCACTTTATGCACTTCCTGTCTATGGTCCACATCTCTGTACTCAGTTGAAGGGTACACAGCCAGAGGGGATTCTTTTTCAGACAAGGAAATACTACAGTCTCTGTTTAAACAATCTCCAAACTTTCAAGGATTAGTGTAGGGGGAAATGCATGGGGTGAAGGGGGTTAAAATGAATACAAATTGGGAAGAGGTATCCCTAGGAAGTAAAAGGTGAAGAATGAGCAAAAGAAAGAACAAATTTGAAAAAAGTACAGACAAAAGCAATGATCCTATTCAAAGAGATAAAGTAGTTCCATTAAAGGATGTCAAAAACTTAAATCTTCCAACTGGATATGAAGCATATTTAAATATATCAGAGATGGTTAAAAACACATCACAAAATTTGAAATTGCTCTTATCTTCTGAAGTGTAGAGGTGATCTGAGAACAACAAAAATACTCGGCATGACTTAAAAATCTTGTTTCTCAAAGGGTGAGTAAAGTTGAAAATGCAAACACTTTAAAAAGGATTTTAAGTTAATTCCCAGAGAACAAATACATCTTGTTTTCCTAAGGCCTATCCAAGAACTGTGAGGGGTTAGGACCTGGTGACTAGGGTCAGAAATGTCTGGGTTCTAGTCTTGGCTTGCCTACTTGCTAACGCTACATGTGTGCCCCTGGGCAAAGGACTTGGTATTTCAAAGTCCCCTCAGCTGTAAAAGACGATAATAATACCTGTCCCGGCTACCTCAAAGGAGAGTTTCGGTGTTCAAACGAAGTCTCGTATTTCACGGTGTTTTGAGAACTGCCTGGTGCTCCATAAATACGGTGTGTTTTTTTGTGTGTGTTTTTTGCTATTGCATCACTGACATTTTTGCAAACTTTCAAACAAGGGACATGCAAGTTAGAGCAATTTGACGCCTCCACGTGGCAACCGTGGCACCGCCTTCATCAATTCTTGTCCCTCGTTTATGAGCGTGTCTTGTTGAGAACAACTTTTCAGCGTCTTAAACGGATTTTTTTTTTAACCTGCTACACAACTAGCAAGGTGGTGCCTCTAAAAGCACCGCGCAGACAGGGCTGAAGATAAACTGCCAGGCGCCAAGAATGCCCTCTTGGAGGCTGCTGCATTGTGTGCGGTCCATCAGGACGCGGTCCGCAGAACGGAAACGTGAATGGGGAGACCTGGAGGTCCAACACCGTAGTTACGGGAATTCCATTCTGGTACCTGTCGTGAGGTGTCACCATTCCCAGGAAGAAGCAGGACACGACAACCAACTTCAAAGTCAGAGGGCCCAGTGTCCAACCCCCGGCGTGGAGCGGGGTTAATGCGCACGCACCCCGGCTCCCCTGGCGGCCGGGCTCCGGGGATCGCGCCTGCCCCGCCCGCGCCTGCCCCGCCCGGCCTGGTGCGCGCGCCGCCGCCGCCGGCCCACGTGACCCCAGGCGCGTCGACGGCGGGGGCGCGGGCCGGCTCCGCAGCGCCGCGCAGGCGCCCCAGGGCCGCGCCGGGCCGAGCCCCTCCTGCTCTCTCTAGGAGTCAAAATGGCGGCAAGGGAGCCCTGGAGCAGTCCCGGAGCCTGAGCCCCTGACAGGAGCGGAGAGGCGGCAGCGGCGGCGGCGGCAGGAGGAGGAGGATGGCTGGGGGTGCTGGCGCCGGTGCGGACGGCGGTGCTGGTGGCGGCGGCGGCGGGGGCGACGGCCGCGGTCCCAGCGGCGGCAGCCACAGCAGCGGCGGGAGGAGCCTCCAGGGTGAGTGTCCCTCGGTGTCTCGGAGGCTGGGAGCCGAGGCTGTCCTGCGCGGCTAGGCGTCCCGGCGAGGAAGGGGCTGAGCCTGGAGGTGAGGGGGCCGTGCTTGGGGCCGGGCCACCGCAGGAGGCGCTGGACTGCCGCCGGGGTAGGGGCAGTCGTCTGTCCGGGGGTGAGGCGGCGGCGGCGGCGGCGGACGACTGGCCGGTCCCGGTCCGGTCCCGGTGCACCCTGAGGGGCGGGCTCGGCCGGGCGCCGCCGTCCCGGGGGCAGAGGCGCGAGGTGTGGCGCTCGGAGCGGGGAGCGCGGCACTCGGGGGCCGCGGCGGCCCGTCGGGCTCCGGCCTCGGGGCTCGGGGCGCGGAGGGGCGGGACCCGCCGCTCCCAGGACTCCGGGAAACCGCTCCCCAGCCTCGGGCGCGTGTTTGCCGGGCTGCGGGGCTGCGGCCGCCCCGAGCGGACGGGAGAGCGCCGGCCGGCAGTGGAGAGGGAGCAGGCCGCTCCCGGGGGGAGAAGTTGGGCTGTGCGGTAAGTTTCTGTTGTGGGGCTGCAGCCGGAACTGCGCTTTGACAGGTTGGAAGGGAGACATTGTTGATCGGGGCGTCTGCGCCCGGAGGACCCGAAAGCGAGCCTTTCCCGTGTGTTCTCCTTCGCACGGCGGCTTATTGTCCTTACACCGAGGGTGAGAACTTTGTCGCCGTTGTTTTATTTGTCTTTGTTTTCTTTTTTTTGAGAAGCTTTTCTTTTTTATTTTCCTTTTTAAGAATTTTTTTTAGAAGCTTTGAGTGTTGCTTCTGCTTTGAGCTACAATAGCAGGTCTTCACATACCAGCACAGATAACAAGTCCTCTGCTTTAGGCCCAGTTTACAGAAGCGTCTTGCTTATCTTTACCAGAGCACTGTTCCCTCTGCTAAAACACCTTGCTGTAATGAGGACATAGGCTCCCCCCCCCCACACACACACACAATTACTTAGTTTTTTCAACTAACAGATTTTTTTTTTTTTTGTCTTTGAGTAGTATCTATTTCTTTTAGGTTGCTGACATAAATTCCTTTCTTCCGGAGATGTGGAAGAAAGACTTGAAATTGTAAGAATCACACCTTTAATGGCAGCTGTGGTTAAACTTGTCGTGGGATTTCGGAGTCAGAAAAACCTTGAGAGATCTGGTGGGACTTGTTTTGGAGCCGGGACACTAGGGGCAGGCACAGGGAGGTGAGTGAGTGAGTGGCTTAGTGTGGGCGCTACAGCTGCTCAGGGTTGGACCTAAACTAGGATCTAGGCTCCCTTTAGACAACTCTTTTCACTACCCTCCTGAGCTTCTTGTTCATTGATTGCATCTGTCGCCACCAGTACCCATCCCTAGGTCTTCGTGCAGTAAAGTTGAAAACAGAAACGAAAGAACTTTGCTGTGATTCTGACAGCTACTATGCGTTACCATAAGTAATTGATGATTTCTTTTTCTAACCTGAATTTAATAAAAATGAACTGACATTTCATTTAGAGTTTTCATAGCCTGTGGCTGCATTGTGCCCACTTACAGCATTCATGGCTCATTCTTGCATGCATTCAGTAAAACCCAAAGGTGAATATTCTGTCCCACAACCTAACTACTGTATTGTTCTGTGCCCCAGCATCAGCATTTAAACAGGTTTTTTGTATCAGACTCTAATTTTAGGATTTAAAACACCTGTTTTATGTTTGCTGCGTTATACCACCTAGTAGTTTCTTTTTAAAAATTTTTTAAAAAATCGTTATTGTTGAAAGCATTACATATGTCCCCTTTTTACCCCATTGACCCCATTTATATCACCCAGTTTCCATGTGTTTTGTTAAGTCACAGAAATTTCTTTGTTGTGCCAGAGGTTAACCTTCAGAAATAAAGTAATGTCTAATGATTCTGATTTCATAGCCTAGTTAAGGAAATGCACACATCCAAAATTATACCTTGTGTTCAATTAAACCTGTTATCTACTTTGTGCTTTGTGTTATATACTACAGGAAGAAAGAAAAAAGTGTAATATATAGACTTTACCCTCAGGAAAGATAAGATGTACCTCTGTGAGTCTAGAAGACAATCTAGTAAGTTCTACCAATACAAAGAATGCTGTAGGTGTTCAGGTCAGGGGGAGATGATGAGGTGTCAGGAGTCTAAAGAACTTCCTGGAACACTTGGGACTTGAACTAGCTTATGAGGGTTTAGATTTACAGAGAGATTGGAGCAGTTACTTCTTGAGATAAAAGCGAGAGTATAATGTGGAGATTAGCTTTGGGGGAGGGGAATGGAGGGAAGCTAGGCTGAGCTGACTAAATTTCTTTGAGGGACTAAAAGGAAAACGAGATAGTTGGAAGATTTTGGAAGAGTTTGAGTATTGGATTGAAGAGATTTAGATTTTTAGATTTTTATCCTCTTTTGCAAGATATGGGAAGCTTTTGAAAGTTTGGAGGTCAGACATTAATGTGTTACACCAGTAAGCTGGACCTATCTATCAGTTATCTACAGATTGAGCTAGAACAGGGGTGGGCAAACTTTTTGACTCGAGGGCCACAATGGGTTCTTAAACTGGACCGGAGGGCCGGAACAAAAAGCATGGATGGAGTGTTTGTGTGAACTAATATAAATTCAAAGTAAACATCATTACATAAAAGGGTACGGTCTTTTTTTTTTTTTTTTAGTTTTATTCATTTCAAATGGGCCGGATCCGGCCCGCGGACCGTAGTTTGCCCACGGCTGAGCTAGAATGAGAAGTGACTGGACTGAACCAGGGACAACAGTCACTATTGCAGTTACCTGCATATGAAGAGATAAGATCTTAGACTAGGATAGTCAATAGGAAGGATACATAGCTGGTGTTGTTTTTGTTTTTATTGTGGTGAAAATATATAACATGAAATTCCATTTTAATTTCTTTAAAGTCTCTAGTTCTATGGCATTAAGATTGTTGTGCAACTGCCCTGGCCAATGTGGCTCAGTTGTTTGGGTGTCATCCCATGAACCAGGAGGTTGCCGGTTCCATTTCCAGTCAAGGGCACATGCCCAGGTTGCAGGTTCAATCCTTGTAAGGGGCATGCAGAAGGCAGCCGATCAATGATTCTCTCACATCATTGATGTTTCTCTCTTTCTCTCCCTATCCCTTCCTCTCTCTCTAAAAGTCAGTAAATTATTCTTGCGCTGCCAGTGTGGCTCAGTGGTTGAGTGTTGACCTATGAACCAGGAGGTCACGGCTCGATTCCTCTTCAGGGCACATGCCCGGGTTGTGGTTCAATCCCTAGTGGGGTGTGCAGGAGGCAGCGGATCAATGATTCTCTTTCATCGTTGATATTTCTCTCTCTTTCCCTCTCCCTTCCACTCTGAAGTCAATAAAAATATATATTTTTAAGAAATCAATAAACTATTCTTTTTTTTAAAAAAGATTGTGCAACCATCACCACTATCCATCTCCAAAACTCTCTTCATCTTCCCCAAGTGAAATTTTCTGCCTATGAAACACCAACTCTCCATTTCCCTTTATCTGCAGCCTCTGGCAACGACCATTCTACTTTCTGTCTCTGAATTTGACTACTCTGGAAACCTCATATAAGTGGAATCTTACAATATTTATCCTTATGTGACTGGCTTATTTCACTTAGCATAATATCTTCAAAGTTCATCTATCTTAATAGCTTTTGTCAGAATTTCCTTCATTTTTAACCAGTTAACTGCCACAATTTTGAATTTAACTAAAAAAGGTCTGCTGCATCGTCTATAGACGCTTATGGCGTACAAATCGTTAAGGCTGAATAATATTCCATTGTATGTATATAGTATACTACATTTTATTCATGCATTTATCTGTCAATGGATAGTTGGTTTGCTCCCATTTTTTGGCTGTTGTGAATAATGTTGCTATGAGCATGGGTGTATAAATATCTGAGTGTGTACTTTCATTTCTTTTTGATGTATACCCAGAAAATTTTACCTTCCCACTATCACTGTATAATTTCTCCACTTCCTCAACAACTTGCTTTTTTATTTTGATAGTCATACTAATGGGTGTGAATGACATCTCATTGTGATTTTGATTTGCATATCTTCTTTGAAGAGATATCAATTTAAATTATTTGCCCATATAAAAAATATATATGTTTTTATTGATTTCAGAGTGGAAGGGAGAGGGGGAGAGAGGTAGAAACATCAATGATGACAGGGAATCATTGATCGGCTGCTTCTCACATGTGCCCCAACCAGGAATGGAACCTGAAATCCAAACAGGTGACCTGACTGGAAATCAAACCAGCAACCTTCCAATGCATGGGAAGACTCTTCAACCAATTGAACCACAGTGGCCAAGGCTGTAGTGGTTTTTAATTTTTTTTAATTATTAAAATATTGACAATCTATAAATTTGGCATTACAAATTGAGTCTTTCACATCCTTACTATCTTTTTAAAAATATATTTTATTGATTTTTTACAGAGGAAGGGAGAGGAATAGAGAGTTAGAAACATTGATGAGAGAGAAACATCGATCAGCTGCCTCCTGCACACCCCCTGCTGGGGATGTGCCTGCAACCAAGGTACATGCCCTCGACCGGAATCGAACCTGGGACCCTTCAGTCTGCAGGCTGACACTTTATCCACTGAGCCACACTGGTTAGAGCCTCACTATCCTATGTAATAAAGAGCTAATATGCAAATGGTCGTTGCACCCTCGTGCGGGGCCAGGGGACCTGAGGCAGTGCCCCCCACCCAGCTGGGCTTGATGGGGGACCTGAGGCTGTGGCCCCCACCTGGCGGGGCTTGATGGGGGACCTGAGGCCACACCCCCCACCTGGCAGGGCTTGATGGGGGACCTGAGGCTGCGCCCCCCTGCCCGGCAGGGCTTGATAGGGGATCTGAGGCTGTGCGGGCCCCCCCCCCCCCAGCAGGGATTGACGAGGGTGGAGCCAGCCGGGTCTGGTTCTCACTTGATTTCGAGGTGCACATGGGTGGGCGGGGACTTGACTCTGGGTCACGCTGCGCGCACCA